AAATGCGAACTCCAAAAGCCAACACGGTCACCTGACATCTTGCATCCCTTCTATCTCATCCAAACATCTCCACGAGGCAGCTTTTCACTTCAGTATTTAAACTATAATTATGCTATCAGTGCCAGAACTGGACAATAAGTAAAACCCATGAAAGCAAAATCATTGCATGCGAAATGAATTAATGTCTCCGCAAAACATGTAACATCACAAGACGAGACGGGCAGAGAAATGAAGAAGCAAGAGCAACTATTGGCACTGAGTCCAGCCTACATTTCATAGAAAGAGAATAAAACTGTTTTGGCCACCTGTTACGTTTGTCACCTAGTCAGCCAGCCTCGAGAGCCTAAAACACCAAGCACCCAGGCTATAATTTACTATAAAAGAAGACGAAGGTCACGCAGAAGGTGGACTGAGGTTACAAAACAAATAAAAATGGATAACCCAAGATATATCAGAACTAATGTTAGAACTAAGAGAGAAGGCGGACAAAATAAAATGTTGAAACGTATAACATTTGTGAGGCAGCGTGGTGGAATCAGGCTCTCGTCAAAATAATCTAAGTGAAGAAATTTGCAATTTTCCGCAGGTTTGTGAATTTTTATTTAAAAAATTTTTTTTTGGGTCAGCACCTTTCATGCCCATTAAATAATTCATTTCTGAGTGGATTTTTCTGATAAACGTTTTTTAAAGGTGCAAAAAATGTAAATTTTCAGTTACCACAGACTCTTAGGCAAAGGAAATAACTAATCTTTGGGGGCCATTTTCTCACTAATTTTACCTCTGAAAACAGGTGACCCCCACCTCCTTCATTCACAAATATCTAGACTTATATTCAAGATAAATGGATTTTTAAAAAACCAAATAAAGACAAGTGAACAAGCTTTAAGATGATACCAATAACTCTACATGCCCAAAAATTGACAAGAGCCTGATTCCATCACGCTGCCTCACATTTTAAAAAAGGGCAATAAAGAACAAATGTAGTGAGAGGACAATAAATGGATAAATGATAAATGTCAACAAATAGAGAAGCACCAAAACAAAGACAGCAAATTCAGCATCCCAAAATCAAAGAAGTAAGTGGGATAAAACGATGCTCAATACCGGGTGCAGATCTATGCAATCAAAAGGAGGAGAGATTTTTGTGAACAAGTGGGGATGCTTCAAACATGGTCAGAGTACATAGAACATTTTGAAGTTACTTATGGAGGAGAAAAGCGGTAATAAAGAAATACATAAGTGGACCACTAATACTGAAAACTGAAGTACAAGGTGCGGTTCAGAAAATGAAGCAAAGCAAAGTCATATGGCCAGAAAATATCCCAGTTAAAGTGTTTGTCACAATAAAAGAACTAGGCTAGGCTGTGAAATAACACAATGCTCTTAAATTCTGTGACAGTAGTAAGATTCCAGAAAATAATATGATATATTCAGTTTTTATGGCTTTACCTATAACATCACATTTTTGTGCGAGGAGCACAGAGCATTAACCCCAGAGTGTTATTAATCTTATAAAATTCTTGCTGCGAGGACTAATAGGAAGAATGAGGGGGGGGGGGGGGAATCTACGCTACATTCACCCTAACAATGTTAATCAAAGGATGTATTAAAGCATAAAAAGGTTCGTAAAAAAATATTGTTTCATAAAATATTTAAAGGCTTTCGATAAAGTTATACACGATGAGCTTTTTTGAGATTATGGAAGAGCTGAACATTCAATATGGAAACGATCTCAGAATGCTTTAGAATTTATACAGGGACCAAAACGCTGCCCTAAGAATTGATGGAGAATGTGGCAAATATACGCAGCTTGAATGAGGAATGAGGCAAGGATGCGTTATTTCACCAGATTTCTTAAACATGCAGAGTAAAACAAGTTTTAGAATGTATATTATACCCAACTCCATCAAAAACGCCTCCCTTACAGAAATACGCTTGGAATGAAAACTATGAAGTGGATTGAAACAAGTGTTTACACGGAGGTGTGAGGTTTTAATACCAACAGATATTGAACAGAATAAGGGGTCCAATCCAGGTTTGAGTGTTTGTGTCATGCGATGTCCAACATACCCCCATTCACAAAAGTACAATAGCGAGTATGGCGGCATTGCGCTGCAATGGTAATGGATGTTAGACACTGCGTAGACATAGGGTCTAGTAAGATTTGGAATGGTTCTCGATGGTATGCTTTTCCATTCTGCGATCAGTCCATAACGAAATTGCATCACATTGACGACCCGATGGTTGGCCTACACTTCTCTATTTCGCAGAATCAAGACTCGTCAGGAAACAACTCCGCCCCAGTCTCCTGGCGTTCACTTTGAGTGTTGGTTGCACCAGTCTTCACAAGCTTGTCGGTGTGCAGCAGGAAGCATGGGGCCTTCGTAGGGTTTACAGTTTCATAAACCTGCTTTTGTCAATCGGTGCCGAATGGTGACTGCACTTACGGTCCATCTAGTTCTCTTTGTCTCTGGCCGTTACGGTGGCAGGAAGAAAACGATCTCTTCGGTGGCATTAGATACGTTTGTTATGTGGTCGTTACCATTAGTTGCCCCACCTCTGGTCGGCGACACTTCCAGTTGTCTGGAAACGTTCCTGTAGCCTTCCAGTTGTACGTTGATCGGCATTAAACCGTGCTGCGACGCGCCTTTGACTTACACTGGCGATGAGAATTCCAATGGCGCGGTTGCGCTCCTCAGTGCTCACCCTTGGCATACAGTTAGGAGTATAATCAGGAGATTAATTTAAGAACTGAACTCGTTTTCTTTCTCTCTGTTAATTAAGAGAAGTTACAAAACATAAGAGCAATCCCGGTTGATTTATTGCAACAGGAAACCACAACATATAGATATTAAAATTAAAATAAAATGTTTTATGATGTTTTGCGCATGTCCCAACATAAAAGATGACCACACCAATAAATGAACGTTTGTGTAATGGCCAGAAGGTGGACAATAGCTTACAGTTCGTTGTACTTTTCATCAAACACATGACTTGTGAAACGTTCTGTCCATTTGAAAAGTACGGCGTTTTTAATTGATTTGAGTATACAAAAGATGTTGATCCATGCCCTTCTTTGAAAAAAATACAGCAGTGTTTTCCCCTTGCCTTCTGCTGGATTTTTAAAAATAAATAGCATTTGTATATATGCATGTAGCGCAAATCCCCGCTCAAAAGCAAGCTCTATGGGCTTCACAATCTGTACTATTACCCAAGAAGACCTGAAAGCATTCTGAAACAAACTCAACTGCCTGAGAAGCATACAGTGCAAGCAGCCATTTATAGGCGCTAAAACGCTAACAACATACTGACAAGATCTTTCGTTGTCTATGGCCGGGTATTCATTTCCACCTGGGTGAAGTGAGGAAAATTAGTGTAAAGTGACTTTCCCAAGGACACAACGTCGGGCCCGCGGCTCGAACCCCCGACCCCTAAACCTCACGATTACGAGTCCGGTGTGTGTGTGTGTGTGTGTGTGTGAGTGTGTGTGCGCGCGCGCGCGCGTTTGTGTTTTTGTGGTCAATGGGTATGATTTTTACTTCTGGAGCAGGAAGTCCAAAAGTTTTAGTCCTTTCTTAATGATTATCTGAGCAAGGGAGTGGAAGAAGAAGAAGAAGAAGAAGAAGAAGAAGAA